CCCGCCAGCCGTTACGGGGCCGTCTCAACCCCCACACTCGCCATGAACGCCGCGGCCTCCTGCTTCCCCAGCGCCGCCACAAGCCCCGAAAACTTGGACGACGGGTCCGACACAAGTTCGCGCGGGGAGCCCGACTCCGCGACGACGCCGTGGTCCATGACGATGATTTTGTCGTACGCCGCCACGGTGTGCAGGCGGTGGGCGATGGTGATGACGGTGCGTGAGCTGAAGGCCGTCATCACCGTGTGCTGGATCTGCCGGTCGAGGGCGTGGTCGATGTTCGCCGTGGCCTCGTCCATCAAAATGAAGCCGCTGCCCCGCCGCAGCAGCGCCCGCGCGAGGCACAGCAGCTGCCGCTGCCCCACGCTGTAGTTCGAACCGCCCTCCCGCACGCGGCTGTGGATGCCGCCGCCCTCCGCCGCCACGCGCTCCCGCATCCCCACCAGCTCCAGCGCGCCCCACACCTCCGCCGCCGTCGACTCGAGGAAGGGGTCGACGTTCGACCGCACCGTGCCGTCGAACAGCACCGGGTCCTGCGGAATCATCGAGAACTGCTGCCGCAACTCCCGCAACCCGTACGCGCGGATCGGCCGCCCCGACACGACGATGTCGCCGCCGCAGATGTCCACCATCCGCATGAGCGTGAGCAGCAGCGTCGACTTGCCGCTGCCGGTGCGGCCCACAATCCCCACCTTCTGCCGCGGCTCAATGCGGAAGCTGACCTTGTCCAGCACGAGTGGCAGCCCCGCACGGTACCGCATGTCCACCTCGCGGAACTCCAGCCACCCCGCCGTCGTCTCCGGCTGCCGTGCCCCGCCGCCGGCCTCCACCAACACGGTCGCCGTGGCACCGCCGTCCTCGGCCTTCTTCTCCCGCAGCTCGTCAACCAGCCCGTCAATCTCGGGCATCTCCTCACGGTCTATGTTGTGGGCGTAGTACAGGACGCGCTCCACGCTGTTCATGTCCGCCTCCATGCTGCCAACCATCCGCACGAGCCAATTCAGCTGCGACGTGGAGGCCAGGGCCATGGTGAGGCTGAGCGACACAAGGCCAATGTCGTGCGTGCCGAAGCGCATCATTGTCCCGACGACACCGAGAAGGGCGATGGCGACGACGATGACGTTCCCCAAAAAATCGACTCGGACCCCCAACCAGCGGTTCGTCGCGTTCTCCAGGAAGGAGGAGGCGTACACGCGGTCGATCCGTCGCAGGGACTCCTTCATAATGGACGCCGCAGCCCCGTAGGCGCTGATCGTGGCGGACCCGACGAGCACCTCCCCCAGAAGCGACACCATCGGCGCCTTCACAACGCCGCCGACGCGACGAATCTCTCGGTTGGTGACTTTGTAGAAGAGGACCAGCCTGTGGTACAGGAACACGCTGGGAATCAGAGCCACAAGGACGTATGGCTGCGACTCGACGGCCACGGCAAGCGAGGATAGGATGCCGTAGAGAACCTGCAGGAAGAAAATGAACGTCATCTGCAGCTGGTCGTCAAGGCGGTCAATGTCGCGGGAGAAGCGGTTGACGATGCGGCCAAGCGGGGTGGTGTCAAAGAACTGCATCGTGCCGGTGGAGACGGATCGAAGGATGAGACGGTGCAGGTTACGTGAGCCCCGCCTCATCGCGCCGTACGCGACGCTGAAACGCAGCGGCGTCGTGACGGTCCCGCAAACCACAAGGGCGATGTACACCCGAAGGTACGTTTCCGGGGACAGACCGAAGCGCTGCGTCGACCACATCGAGAGCCACACGTTGGAGGACAAGGACAGCGCCTCGGTGAGGAGGAAGAGGAGCAGCACCGTCAGCACCACGGAGACGCCACCGCATGCACGAAAATACGCCACGTACGTCGACCACAACACGGACCCGACGGCCTTCTCCTCCACAGTCATCATCGTCGCGCTGGTGCCGCCGGGCGACGCCGCCTCGAGCGGCGCACTACTCTCCGCCGCGGGGGGGCCACCCAAGACATCGCCCATCTCCTCCGCCTTCTCTGCCCCCTCCTGTTGGTGCTGCCTCGCGTCGGCGGCAATAACCTCCGCGTACACCGCGGAGCCCATGAAGTCCTCGCGACTGCCGGCAAACCGCACGGCGCCGGCGCCCACCACCACAACGGCGTCCGCCCGCGGCAGCAGGTGCAGTTGGTGCGTCACCAACACGCGGGTCTTGCGCGCCAGCTGGCCCAGCAGGACATCCCTCACGACCCGCTCGCCGACGTGGGCGTCCAGCGCGGAGAGCGGGTCGTCCAAGAGGTACAACTCGCGGTCGGCGTACACCGCACGCGCGAGACTCACCCGCGCCCTCTGCCCCCCGCTCAGGTTGATGCCCTTCTCCCCAATCTCCGTCTCCAGCCCGCCCGCCAGCAGCCCCAGGTCGGGCTCCAGCTGGCACACACGCACCGCCTCCCGCAGTCTCCTCGGGTCCTCCGGGGCGAAGAAGAGTATATTCTCGCGCAGCGTCGCGTTCATGATCCATGGCTGCTGCGGCACGTACGCGACGCTTCGCGTGGCCCACACACGACCCCGCCTCACCTCGTACTCGCCCAGCAGCGCCGCCAGGAGCGTCGATTTACCGCTTCCGGTGGGTCCAATGATAACAGTGAGTTTGCCCTTTGGGACCTCGATGGAGACGCCCCTCAAGATGTCCTTCGGGACCAACTCAAAGCGATCCTCGGCCAACACGTCTGCCGCGGCAGTCCCCGCCTCATTGGAGTCGTTTCGCCCCGTCGCGGTTGGCGTGGCGGAGCCGCCGGACGGCTGCTGCACTTGCGTCGGCGAGGGCCGCTTCCTGCCCGGGCGGCAGGCCTCGCAGCAGCAAAAGCGCCGCATGAGGCGAGTGGCGAGGGAGAGAACTACGCGAGGCGCACGCGGGAGCCTCACAGGCACAAGCGCCGTGATGTCACTACTCTCAAAGAGGGCGGCCAGCTCGCACCACGGCCCGCCGCTCGCCCGCCGCGCGGTGTTGTAGGTGCGGATGTCCAGAACGCCGTGCGGGGAGTTCTGGCACTCGAGGAAGGCGGAGATGCGGGCCATGGAGACGATGAACTGCACCCCGTAGTTAAACGTCGTGGGAATCATCATAAAAGGCATGCGGATGATGGCGAGGAGCGAGATGGTGGGAAAGACGATTTCCGGCGTGAGCTCGTGCCCGAGGAAGTGGTACAGGAGGAGCACAATGGCAATCATGGCGGGCGGGGTGGCGTTGTTGAGGAAGGACACGACGACGCGGCACCACTGCACCCCCCGGAGGTACCGCAGCTCGGTGTCGCGCTTTGCCTCGATGTCGGCGATGAAGCGGGGCTCCCACGTCATGAACTTCGCCACGCGCACGCCAGAGAAGAACTCGTTGGTCGCCTTCACACGGGCGTCTGTCGTGGCCGCAAGACGTCTGCGCAGCCGCATCATGCGCCGCATCACAAGTGCGTTCAGCGGCAGCGTTGCGCTGAGCGCGGCGACGGCGACCAGTGCGCTCCAGCCGACGAGTCGGTACAAGAGAACGATGGAGACGGTGAACACCGTCGGGGAGCTCCAGAGGTACATGCAGTACTGCAGGAAGTCGTTGGCCCGTTCAACGTCGGTGCTCACCATATTAATAATCCTCCCGGTACTCATCTCTGGGGCCGCGAGCGACCCCGACGAGATGACGAAGCACTTCTCAAATATCACTGCCGTCAGGGCGCTGCGGAAGCACTGGCCGCCGTTGATGCTTATGTAGTAGAACGCGTGGAGCGCCACGCTCTGTGCGGCCTGCACGAGGAAGAGCGCCACGACGAGCAGCAGCCCGGAGGACCAGCTGGGAGAGTCGCCCGCGAGGTACACGACGTAGTGTCGCAGGAGGACGGGGAGGGTGAGGGTGCAGACGTCGCCAATGACTTTGCCGGGAAATTGCCAAAGGACGGCGCCGGGCAGCGCCGCGAGGAGGTCGCGCACCACAGAGACCCGCCTGGGCTCCGGGACGGAGGCCGCGAGCGCCGCGTCAGCGTCAGCGGCAGCGTCGTCCGCCGCGACAAACTCGAGGCTGCGAGGCTCCTCCAGCGTGGAGTTGTCGGTGGCCTCCGGCGCGAAGAGCGTCTCGCCGTGGACGAGGCCGCGGAAGAAGGGCGAGTACTCCGCGCCGCACTCGGCGACCCGATGCGACGGGGGCGTCGCCCACGTGACGGCCGCCACGACGTCGTGGTAGCCGCCGGACTGCGGCACGCCCACCCACCGCAGCGTCCCCCGGCTGCGGCGATCGCGGCGGCTTGTCACCGTCGCGCCAAGGAGAACGCTCCAGCCGTGCCGCCGTCGCAGGCTGCGCTGCGTCACCGCCGAAAGCTTCAGCCCGCACTCGTGCGCGCGGTCGGCGCGGGGTGGCGGCGGCAAGTCCTCCACCCGCAGCCGCTCCCTTGCGGCGAGCTGGATGTACCCCGAGATCCAGGCGTAGCACAGGCGCTGCGGCCACGTGGCTGCGCTCTCCGCCGTGGGGGCGTATGGCTCCTCCGGCCCCCACATCTCGCGCAGGCGGCGGGCCATGCCGCCGTAGCCCCTGTCGTACGCCCGCTTGCGGGTCGCCAGTGCGCTGTGGCTCACACGCACCGCCGACGAGGAGGTGGACGACGAGGAGGTGGACGACAACTCGTCGCGGACCGTCGCCGCGCCTCCGTCCACAACCCGCGCATCTTCGCACAACATGCCGCGCGGCTTCGCCTCCCGCGTCGCCGCGTACTTCTATCTCGCTATGCGTGCCTGCACGGCACCCTTCTTTCTTCCCCCGCGGCCACAGAAGGGGGAGGAGGGCAACAGCCGTGGCCCACACGACGCCAGCGGCGAAAACGAGGGGAAGGGGCGCACGTGCACCGCGGAGCGGAAACAGACACGACGCACAAACTTCAGCGCCAATGGCGAGTGGGGCTCAAAGAAGAAAAGGCAGGGCACCAAATGCAAATAAAAGGAGAGTGGGGATGGAGGTGGCGCCTCCCGGCCACGTTTCTTTCCTGCCGCCCCCACTACTTCCGCAACGCCACGGCACCGCAGCACACGGGAAGGAACTAAAAAAAGGAGCAGGCCTCCACCATGCGCAGTGCACACACGGGGGCAATACGTGCTGCATGGGGGCATGCCGGCGCCGCAGCGGTCTCGCCCCCGGCCACTTCCACGGCGTCCACTTCGCACAGGTAGTTAGGCCCACGCATGCATGCACGGATTGGCTTGGGCGGCGCTTGCGCCAAGAGCCGGCCGCCCTAATTTGCCACCTCCACCAACGCGTCCACCTCGACGGCAACTCCAAACGGCAGCTGTGCCGCCCCCACAGCGCACCGGGCATGCCGACCAACCTCCTCCCCGAACACACTGAGGATAAAGTCTGAGGCGCCATCGGCAACGTACGGCTGCTCCGTGAAGGTTGGCGCGGAGTTCACAAACACGTTGAGCTTCACGACACGGCGCACGCGGTCCAGGTCGCCCAGGGCCGCCTGCATTTGGCTCACGACCTGAACCGCACACGCTCGGGCCGCCGCTTGCCCTTCCGCCACCGTCAGCGAAGCGCCCAACTGGCCAGTCATGAACGCCCCCTCGTCGTTCCTCGGGAGCTGGCCGGAGATGTGCAGCAGCGCCCCGCTGCAGACGTATGGCGCGTAATTCGTTTTTGGCGCCGCAGCGGTCGGGAGCGTGACGCCCAGCCTCTGGAGCCTCGCGGCAACACGCCCAGCAGCGACGCCAGGCATTTGCACGGCAACTTGTGTGGATGACGCACTGGAGCCTAGGCAGAGACGGCGTGAGGGGAAAGGCGCGTGGAGGGGGCGGGGCGTGTGAGGCACCGCAAGCGACAGCGAGAGCAACAACAAAAGCGCCACCGCAGCCAACAGCCAACAGACACAACGCACGGGCCCACCGGCCGCAGTTTTCCCGCCCCGCTTGGTTTACTTCGGGCTCTCCGCCTGCTCCACGGCGCCCCTCCCCCCCGCCTCAGAGCGGCCGCTCGCCCCCCTTCAGCTCGTCCTCGCCCTCGTCCTCGTCGCTCTCCGCCTCATCGTCGACAAACCGCGACGCCCGCCGCGTCTCCAGCTCACTGCGCCGCCGCCTCAGCCCCCGCTCCCGCTCGTACGAGCCGTCGAGCTTCCTCACCACCTTCGTGTAGCGGCGCAGCAACTGGTCGGCCGTGGCGATGGCCGTGTCGTCGTCTGTGGACTCCTGCAGGCAGCGACGCACCTTGCGGCGCAGTCGCTCACTGGACGCCGCGTCGCCGAGGGAGCGGAGCGTCAAGATGGTCTGCACGATCCGCAGCTCCTGCTCGGGTGTCACACTGCGGCCGGCCATGTGGCTTTTTTTTCTTCCCCTCGTTGGGGCGTGCGGGAGGGAGAGGAGGGCGGGAGGGGAGGACAACGGACGTTTCAACCCGCACGCAAACGCACGCCTAGCAGCCGCCGCCGCCGCGGTCAAGCACCGCCACACAAACACACACACACGCACAGGCACACACACAGACACACGCGCAAGTGCATATCTCGTTCGCCCCCGGCGTCACGCGAAGAGTTCGGCCCAACACTCGGAGAGGTGAAACCCGCCGCGACCCCTCGCGCCACCGGCGACAACAACCGACGGGTTGTGGCGGGCGTGGTGGATGGCAGAGATGCAGCGGCGCTCCTGCACGGCGTCGCCCTCCACCTCCGCCTCCCGCCGCTGCTGCTCGAAAATGTCAAGCGCCCGCCGCACATCGCCGTTCCAGAGGTGCGCCCACCCAACGAACACGCGGCACTTCCGCTGCGTGGCGGCGTCGTGGATGCGTGCCGCCGTCGCGTACAGCATGACGGCGCACGCCAGGGCCTTGTCTGCGCGGCGCAGCGAGGCCCAGCCGCCGCCCACGGTCTGCAGCATCGCCATTCTGCAGCACGCCGCGTACTGCCGCGCCTGCCCGTAGTGCGCGTGGCGGCCCCACGCCAAGCAAAAGTCAATGAAGAAGCGACCAGGCGGGGGGAGGGCAACGTAGCAGACGCCGTCGACGCAGAAAAGCAATAAAGGGGGAAAGTCCCGCGCTCCGTGCCTGATGGAAAACGTCGCCTCCGCGGCGAGGGCCCGCAGCACGTGGCCGGCGAGAGAGTTCCGCACTTCCCTATTCCTTTCGTTTCGGTGCACCTCGAGGAGCACCTGCACCGCGCTGCAGGAGTCGCGCAGGAGCACCACTTCAGCACACGCCATCCGCGCGGCCCCTCCCCGAGCGCAGACGCAAGGCGAGACACACGAAGGGCGGGGAGGAAAGAAAGATGGGGGCGGCAGTTGCGGCAGTCGAGCAACAAGCGAGGCGGACACCGCCCACAAAAGAAAGAGAGACAAGTCAACCACACACAGAGCTGCATGCACGCCGTAGACCGCAGTGGAGGGCGAGGGAGAGAGGGGGCGGCTCTCTCGCACGGCGTCGTGTCACCCCCCACTCGCCGTGTCTTGGCGTGCCGCTCGCTACACCGCTCGCCGGCACTCCCCCGGCGGGCCGCCGCGAGGGCAGAGCCGCATGCAACGGCAAGGCAGCCAAGCACCACAGCGCCCCCGCACCGGAGGAAGGTCAGGCGCGGATGCACCCGCGCGAGGGAGCCCCCTTCAGGGCGTCCACTTCGCTGCGGTGCCTGCGGTCGTGCATCGCGCCGCAGCATGCGCCGCGCCATCGCCGCGGAGCGGTCGGCGGCTCTCTGAAGCTGCGCGCGTTGTCCCTTGCCAGGTTCCCCAGGGAGCGCCTGCGGCCGGTTGCTCACCCGCCGCAACCGCGACCGCTCCGCCTACACCCGCCGCGATGCTCCCGCGTCACTCCGCGCCCGTCTTGCGGCGAAGTACATGCAAGAGAGAAGGCGCGCGACCGCGCAGCCGCTCAGCCACGCCGCCGCGCCCGTGGGCCACTGCGACTCGAGCACCGCCTGGTGCTGCGCCAAGGCATCGCCAGCCCCTGCGGCCTACGCCTCCTTGCAGAGCCGCCCAACAGACGCGCGGCCAAACCGGGCCCCGTCGCCCGCGCCCTTCGCGGCACGTGACCCCCATCCACGGCGCGCGGGGGAGCCCGACGGGAGCGGGGAGAAACTTCAGGGTCGCTTACACACAACATCAGCGCGGGAGAAACAGGCAGAGGCGCGGGGATGGGGCACACAGAAAGGCAAAGAGAGAGGGAGCGCACCGCGGCGCGTCGCCCCCAAAAGCACGGGCAACGGTCAAGGGCGGCGCCCCCTCGCCTCGCCCCCCAAGAGGCGTCGCTCGCGCTGTGCGTGCGCGCGGCCTCCACCGACGCTAATGGTGCGGGGCACTCACTTCCGGACGGGCAGCAGATCTTCGTGTTGCGAGTACGCGGCGGCGAGAGTGGTCAGCACGGGCAGCAAGTGGCTTCGCAGCACGCGCGCGGCGCACCCCTCGACGACCAGGCAACTGCTCGTCTCCGCCGCATTCCCCGTGACGATTGCCACCGAACTGCACTGGCGACGCGCCACAAATGCCTCCTCGCCAAAGACGTCGCCAACTGTGAATTCCTGCGCCACGGCGGCCCTCGCGGCGGGGCCGCGCACCCCAAAGACACCAGACGTCACGAGAAAGAGGCCTTTAAACGGGTCGCCCGGGGCGATCACCACCTCACCCCGGGGAAACACGCGCCGGGTGGCACAGCAGCACAGCCGAAGCCGCGTCCAGACGTCCAAGGCCTGCAGCAACGCGCTACTGCGCAGCAGCGGGTAATGCGCCTCAACCCGCGCCGCCCAGGCCCCGCAGAGGGGGCGGCAGTGCTCGAGCGGCATGCAGTACACAACCCCCCGCTCCGCCTCCTCCAACAGGCCCTGCGGAAATAACACATCGTCGTACGTTTCTCCAAAGTAGTCGCCACGCCTTAGCGCAAACCCGCGCGGGCCGGCTTTCGCGCGCAAAGCGCCGGACTTCAGAAGGAATAGATGCACCCCGTCCCCGCGCAGACCGCTAGAACGCGTGACGACCTCCGTTGTCGACATGGTGCGGGCGTACAGCACCGCCTCGCTCACCTCGGCCGAGGACATGACGTCGCCCAAGCCGGCCTCGGCTTCTACGAGCCGCCGGAGCAGCTGCTGCTCCTGCACGGTCTTCCTGTCATAGATGGGAAGCCGCTTGATGCTGTCGGGTGGGGCGCGGGGCAGCACCGGCGGGGCCCGCGGCACCGCGGCGTTGTGCCGCATCTCCCGCTCAATGCACGCCACCAGCCGGTGGTCGACGGCGTCGCGATCGAAGTGCACCTCGTGGATGCGCCGGTTGCGCCGCAGGAGCTCCAGGAAGTGGTGGGCGGCGACGGTGCCGACGGGTTGCCCCCTCACATCGACGACGCGGAGCGAGGGGTGCGTGGCCGCCATGCGGCACACCGCCTCGACGACGTCGTTCCCCGCGACGCCCCCGCGCTGGTAGGGGTCGGCGAGGAAGAGCGCGGTGAGGTTGGAGAGGTCGAGGACCTCCAGCAAAGGCAGCTCGCGCGCCACGTCCACAATCGCCAGCGCCCCACGTGCCCCCACGTGCACCCGCGCGTCCACGGCGCCGACGACAGGGGCGAGGCGCAACACGCGGCGCATGGCGAGCGGCACCGTCGCCTCCCGCCTCTGCCGCGACTCCGCCGCGTCGTCCTCGATCGTCCGCAGTTCGTCGATGGACACGCCCCGCGCACGCGCCTCGGCCCGCAAACGCGACAGACACGCCCGGTCGTCCTCCGCCAGCAGGACGAGCATCTCCCTATTCGGCTTCCCCACCCGCAGCTCCCCGCAGCGGAACATGTACAGCGCGTGGAGCTGGTTCTGGTCGGGAACAAACATCACCCGCACACGACGCCAGAGAGAGAGACGGAGGCACCTCCGCGCCGCTTCGGCTGAGACCTACCGAATGACACCCACGAAAAGGAGAGGAAGATGCAGAGGACCCACACACAGACACACAGAGATAGAGAGAGGTGGGGGAAGCGAGCAAAAGGAGCCGCAGCACAGGCACAGGGAAGGGTGCAGGGGCAATAGCGGCACAAAAGAAGAAACAGTCGCCATGGGCACCGCCGCCGCTGGCGCGAGGGCGACTGTGCTATGTACACTGTGGCTGTGGCAGCAACCGCGGCCTCATTCACGCGCCAGCATCGGGCAGCCATCCACGACATAAAAGCCAAAGTCCTTCTCCGGTAGACACTCGATCTTCGCGCGGAGAGCGTACAGCTCGGCCACCGACGCGTCGGAGAAGTCGTTTCCCCAGAGACGCAGCGACGCGAGGGAGGTGTTCGTCTCCACGGCCTTCGCAATGGCGGAGATGCCGCGCCCGCCAATAGTGTTGCTGCCGATGTGGAGCGCACGCAGGCCGGGGTGCTGCGCGACGGCCGCCGCAATTGCCGCGGCGCCCACGTCTCGCAGCCGGTTGGCGGTCACGTCCAAGGAGAGGAAGTCCGGCCGCAGCGTCAGCAGCTTCGCCAGCGTCGCGCCCGAGTCCTGGGAGAGTTTGTTGCCCCTCAGCGAGAGGCGGCCGACCGCCGAGTTGCCGAGGGGCAAGAGGAGCAGGCTGAGGTCCTCGTCGGTGAGGTTGAAGTGGCCCAGGCCCAAACTTTGCAGCGTCTTGTTCCCCGCCAGCGCGAGCGCGAGGTGGCGCACCGCGTACGCGACGTCGTCCGGGTTGCTCATGAGCGGCCGCCCCAAGTTGAGGGCCGTCAGCGTCGAGTTCCCCGCCAACCCCCGCGCGACGTGCACCAGCGACCTCATCTCCTGCTCCGTGTTCTCCAGGTCCAGCGTCGCGAGGCCGCCGCCGCCCCGCAGCAGCCCCTCCATGGGCGGGCCGCCGCCGCCGCCGATGGGGTTGCCGCGCAGCAGCAGCGTACCGAGCGTCGCGTGCGTGGCGGCGGCGGCGGCGATGGCGCTGGCCCCCTCCGCGCCGATGGCGTTGTGCGACAGGTCCAGGAACTGCAGGCTGCGGAAGCCGCTCCGCATGGCGTCCGCAAGCGCCGCGGCCCCGCGCGAGGTCAACTTGTTGTGGCCGAGGTGCAGCTCCGACACGAGCGGCAGTCGTGCGCACGTCGCCGCGAGCGCCACCACCTCGTCGTCCGTGACGCGTTGGCTGAAGCGGTCAAACGTGTTGCCGCACAAATGCACCGCGCCGCCCTCCAGCGCGAGGAGTTCCTTTCGCGGCGCCACGCCGGAGTCGGCACACGCGCCCGCGTACAGCTCCCCCCACATGACGCCAAACAACGACGGGGCCCCGCCACCTCCTTTCGGTCCCTCTAAAGCGTGGAATTAAGCAGCGCACGGCAACGCCGCCGACGCTTCCCTGCCCGGCGCAAAAAACCACACAACGGGCAGGAAGAAATTAGGCCCCCCCCCCGCTAGTTGGCACGCAGCTGCGGCAGCAAAGAAGGAGGAACCACACCCACACCCACGCGCACACTCGCACTCACTGAAAAAAAGCAAACAAACAAGAGGCGGAACGCACGTTGGCGGTGAACGGCGGCACGGCCGCACGCGCACATCACACCCCACGGCGCCCTGCCGCGCTGCACCCCTCGTCCTCCACGGCACCCCCCGCGTGTTCCTGCGGCCCAGAACCTCCACTCACGCGGGGCAGCGCAGGGCCACTGCGGCGGGCGCCACGGTGGGCGGGAGGCTCCTCCGCACGCAACACGTCACGTATCAGCTGCAACATTTTCTCATCAAACGCATCGACGTTGTCGGTGAAGACCTGATGCCCGGCGTTCATGACCGTGTCCGCCCTCGCCCGATGCCCGCCCGCAGCCATCCTGTCCACCATCGTAAACCCGCACTCGGCGTTGAGCCAAGTGTGGCTGCCGTACACCACCACCAGCGGGATTGCCCGCGACAACCCCCCCGGCAGCACCGCCGCGAGAGGCGACTTGGCAGCAACGTCGGCGTGGCAGCACGCCTTGAAAAGCGCCTCTCCAAGCGGGGGTAGCTGCGCGTTGCAATGGTACGTGTACTCGTAGAAGACTTTGGGGTTCGCCAAGAAGCCGCGCCATCGGTCCGCAAAGTCCGGACGCACAAG